ACAGAGTACTTCATAGCTTATAAGGCACTTCCCTTGTCTTTTCTTCTTTCCCCAACCCTTCATACTTGACATTGTAAGTAGAGAGGACACAAATCATGTTGCTAATATGGGATGGGTTAAGAGTCTGATTCTCAGATGCTACATCACCATGATAAATGGGAGATTTGTGCAATTATTAGCAAAGCAGAGAATTTTTAATAACACCTGCAGGCATGCCCCACCTTCAGAGAACAAATTTTGGAAAGGACTTTCTTGAACTAATGTTATTGAACCTGACCTATGGAAAGTACACATTCTTTCCTGTGTCTCTTCCCCTCTTCCCTCTAGTTAGTGACTTGGAAAGGGTTCTCAGACACTGGCTTCCAGGTGCCCCAACTCTTCCAGCAGGCAGAAAGACAAGCAGGTAGATTAGAGTATAGGGCTAGGAATAATTGCTTTTTCATCAGGATTTTATTTATTTTTTTATTTTATTTTAATTTTTTTTAAATATATCTCTATTGATTTCAGAGAGAGGAAAGGGGAGGGAGAGAGAGAGATAGAAACATCAATGATGAGAGAGTCATTGATCGAGCCCGCAACCTGGGCATGTGCCCTGACCGGGAATCAAACCCCGATCACCTGGATCCTAGGTCGACGCTCAACCGCGGAGCCACCCCCGGCCGGGCTTCATCAGGATTTTAATATTGCAAGGCCAGAAGAATAGGAAGTTGTGAAAATTTTTTAGAACAGCTTTAGATTTACAACAAAATTGAGAGGAAGGTGCAGAGATTTCCCATGTACTCCCTGCCCTCACACATGCATAGCCTCTCTCATTATCAAAGAAAGAACCTACATTGACACTCATAATCACACATAGTCCATAATTTTCTAATTTAAAATAGGGTTCACTCTTGGTGGTGTACATTCTATGGGTTTGGACAAATGTATAATGACATATACCCATCATTATAATACCATACAGAACATTTTTACTGCCCTAAAAATCCTTGCGCTCTGCCTATTCATCTCTCCCTGCCACCCACCCCTGGCAAACACCCATCTGTTTTGTGTGTTAAGTTTTGCCTTTTCCAGAGTGTCAAATAGTTGGAATCAAACAATATGTAGCTTTTTAAGATTAGCTTCTTTCACCTAGTAATATCCATTTGAGGTTCCTCCGTGTCTTTTCATGGCTTGATAGCTCATTTCATTTTAGCACTGAATAATATTCTGTTGTCTGGATGTACCACAGTTTATTCATTTACCTACTGAAGGACATCTTGGTTGCTCAGGAATTGGATGAAGGAGAACTCTTACGGATGAACACATTCTGCTCATTGATAGTTCTAATACAGCAACATTACTATGATTCCACATAAATATGTCTTAACAGTTTTAGAGCTGAAGAAGAGATGAATGGGGCATGGTTTTTACAAATTGTTTGTGTCATTGGATAGGATGAAAAATGGGAATATGCCAGTTTCTTATTTAAATAGCAGTTCACCAGGTGACACAACATTCCAGATAACAGGAGAGGCTTATCTCTAGGTGCGATGCTGAGCGCTTAGTCATTGCAGGAACATGGGGACTGGGAAATGGAAGGGGCTGATTTATGTAAAACTGAAAGAGATGCCCCTCAATCATTATTATCAATGAACTATTATTATATTTGCATCTGTGGAGGGTGGAAAAAAATAACCTTCATAAGTTCTTCTGGCTGGGCTAATCAGATTAACATGAGACAGATTAACAAGAGGAAATATCCTAGATTTATTGCAGATGTACTCGCCGGAGTGCCATAAGATATGAGACTGGAGGACACATTGGGCAATTGAGGTTTTTGTGCCATTCTGGACAGGAGAGGGAGCCAGGGCCTGAGACTTCAAAGGGTTAATGGGCGATTCACAGGTAGGTGAGAAAGAGCAAACATGTGAAAAACAAATTTTTGCTGGACACCCAGAAACAATGCAACACAGAAGGGAGTCCAGTACATAGCTTTGCTAGATTTCTCCCCTTTTGCCACATTTAGTTTATATTTTGATGCTAAAGTGATGCTCCGTTCCTCTAAGCAGGTTTTTCTATCCGAATTCCTGTAGGCAGGTAAGCGGGGGAGGGTCAGAAATTCTTTCTGAGTCTTTTATTTCTTAATAACCTGTTTGAAATCACTATCCCAAAAGGCAAATTTGGGGGGGGGGGGCAAAACTTTGGTCCCTACCTCATCACATATCCCAAATTTGGATGTCATCGTCATCCCTGAGAAGCTTATATGTTAGGTAGCTGATCACTGCTGTTTTTTGTTGGCTTATTTTCTTAATCATTAAGAATATTTGAAAAATACTAGTGTCTTTGTGTGTGTGTGTGTGTGTGTGTGTGTGTGTGTGTGTGTGTGAAGGAGATTTAATCTTCCACATCTATATTTTTAATCAAGGTAATGTTTGTGTAAAACACTGACTATTTTGTAGCAGTGGAAGTAAAGAAAAATATATTTTGACCATGTATAAAACAAATGAAGAACATTCTACCAACTGAATTTTAAAAATAACCAATGGAGGTTGACCTGAAAGGTTTATTTTTATTTTTATCAAGTTCTAACAGACTTCAATATCTGAAGGAAATAGAAGATTTCAGAGCTTGCAGGAAGACAGGCTGTCCAGTGCCTGCCTACTCACCTCAAATAACTTTAAACTCTGAAAACATCTGGCTGTCATTAGCATTAGAACGAGACCTTGTAAGAAGTGAGAATATCTTTGTGGGAACAAATTGATAGGGCCTTAAATCCTTTCTGTGTGGAGAAGAGAACATGTTTACCTTACCATATGACTAGCAGAGTTTTGAGAATACCTTTTGTATACATATGTATTTATTTGCTTTGTGAAACTGGCCTTTTTCCTTCATAGCCAGAAGGAATCGGTCTCAGAAGGCATGCAGGCAATCAAAATATTTTCAAATCCCTGAAGCCAACGAAACACTAGCTTTGGGTTTACTTACTGGTGTGTGTCTTTCTAAACATTAAAAAACAAAACAAACAAACAAAAACAATTCCTGACCCTAAAGGGCAATAAACTAGACCTCTATTAGGCCTAGCAGATATAAAATGTGAGGATTAAAAGGCGTTCAGCAGGAATGACCTGCAAATAATATCTGTCTCAGAACGTATGGTCACTGAGTTAAGCTTGAACAGAAAAGGGGAGACATAGCATAAATATTTTGTGTTCATGCAAAGCAGCCAAAACTTTCTCAGGAACATACTTATTACAAACTCAACTAGGTAACATACATGTCCAGAAAACTTACATGTGAGGGTTTTTCTTTCTTAGCCCACACCCTGTCCCAGTCTCATAACTCCACACCAGCAGTATGCTAGGTATTGATGAGGCAATATAAACATTCCAGAAATTGATGGGTATTATTTGCTGGACATGTCATTGTTGACATCAAAGCAGGTATTAGATTCTAAAGGTAGGTTCAAGACCCGTGCTCCACAGAAAGAGAATGAAATGACATAAACCAAGTTGGAGTTTCAAATCCCTACACAATTCAGTATTTTGTCATGAATGTTCTCTTTCCCATTTTATATGCCAAGAGACCAAAACACACAATGTTGAAGTAACTAATTAGCACCAAACTAAAGTTCAAAGTTGAAAACAACTTGAGAAAATTAAGTGGTATTATTGGCAAAGGACTGTTCTTATTTGTTCTAAATGCTGTATTGACAACCATTTAAAAATAACTAAATATTTAAAGAACTGAAATAACATAGACAGTGTCAAGATATTGGGACACTGAGTGTGTTTTGACATTCCAACATGGGGCTCATTCAGGGAATTTGCCTGTGTCAGATAATTTAAGGTGTGTTTGGCAAATCCTTACTTTCTTGAATGACAGAAAATATTTGTGGGTCTCTGTCAGTTGCCACAAATTTAAAATTAAATCCATGCTCTTGGCTTCAGAAGACGGAATATTTCCATAAGGATCTTTATTTTCCTGACGACATTATTTCCAGTGCAATTTATACTACCACCTTCAGAATCCCATACCACCCTGGATCCAGAACAGAACATTCATATTTTGTGGTATCTCTCCTTAATAAATGTCTTTGGGACATATATTCATCCATATACATGCAAAGTAAGGGTGGAAAGTAGGCTTTCCAAATCCCAGAATCCTCAAATTATGGCATTTTCACTAACGCCATTGAGCAAGGTGAATTGATCTACCTTTATTGAGTATCTACCATATCCCAGGTGGCTTATATATATATAACCTCTAATTGTCACAACAACCTAGAAAAGTAGACAACACCATCACTATTTCGTAGAGGAGGAAACTGAAACTAATTGTGTTTAATGAACTTTTCCAAGGCTACCCAGATCAGATTTTTAAATGAGGGTTGACTCCAAAGACAGTGTTCTTCCATCACACCACAGCGAGCCAGCTTACTACCTGGGGAGGCTGTACCAATCTGAAATATCAAAGGAATCAATGATGTTCATGGTGCATTGTTAACAAATGCTAAGCCCACGTTCCAACTGAGGCTCCTCAGTCCTCTTGGTAATTGAAATTCCCAAGCCCGGAATTTCATGTGCCATCTAGGGAAAGATACAAAGTTAGCTAAAGGAAGAAAGAAAAACCAAGAGGAGGATATTAGATCTGTTTACTTGGTGGTGGCTCTTAGAGGAAGAAAAAAGAAGATGCTTGTTTTCCTGCTGATGTTTTCTGTTTAGAAAAGAACAGGGGTGCCAGGGGTTAAAGGGTAAAGAGAGAATGTTGATATTGCCGTGATGAGCAACGGAGAGTTGGTTGGGGGTTATTTCTCCATCTCCCTGATCATTCCACCCTTCACTGAATGAGAATATTCTGTTTGGCTTTCAGGGTAGGGTTGCCATGCAAGAAGGGTACGTTAATTTCATATTTTCTCATAACTTTCTTTTGGGGATAAGCATTTTGGTTTTCTGCTGTTTATTATTTCAAAGGCATCTATATGCTAATATGTTTATGCTAATTATTTTCATGTTTCCCCTCAGGTTATGCTTCATATCACCCACTAGGGAGGATCATCTCTCATGAAAACTTTTAAATTTGATTTCGAAAATTATTCAGAAAAATTTGAGCCACGCTGTCTTCCAATGCAGGCAAGAATATGCTCTGGAGATTCCTATAATTCAAAGAAAATGGATTGGGATAGCATTTGGGTTCTCATGCTGCCAAAATCCTCTTGAGCAGGTACACAAAGCATTAAACGTTGTGACATTGAAATGTTGGAAGAATAATTAAAATAATAATCTAATAATAGATTTTGAGAAATTGCTAAATTTCGGTGTTTGATCCAGAGAGAAGGGAAAGGCTATTTTCATTCTTGGCAGCTTTCTGAGGTGTGTTAATTGCTTCTATTGCTATAAATACTGTGTTTTAATTGTATGTCATTGCTCCTTAGCGTCATTTCTAGAAAGTTGATTCTAATAATATTATTAATGCCTGAAGCTGATTTTCTGCTTACAGGAAAAAATGAGGTAAAAGAAGAACTTCGTATAATGAGCTAGCTTGATGCTTTCTTCCAGGTTTTTGATTACAGAGAAATTTTTTTACAAGATTGTAATTTGTTTTGAGAGTAGGTTCCAATTTAAAAACAAACAAACAACCAAAAAAACATAGACGTTAGCCAATTACCCTGTCTTAAAAATATTTCTTCAGGCATCTTCTTTGCAAGATAACCAAGACTAAAAAACTGATTTCTCAACATGGGCTATTAAAACTTAAGTCACCCTGGAGGGCATTTCACATTTCTCCCTTGGTTAAGCACTGGACCCCTTTTGTTCCCAAGCATTTCAAGGGTTCAAAGAAAAAGCCCCCCATTTCACACTCCTCCTATTGTTCTTTGTCCCTCTTGGTGCTTAAGAAAAACCAAGGAATCAGAAGCACTGGGGGAATTCGCACTGCAGACTTAAGTCCACGGAGGGTCCCGGCCTCCTCCTTTCCTACGCCTCTCTCCATCTTTCAGTAGCTGCACCTAATTTATTTCTGTTTTTCAAACGCCCCCACCTTTAGACCCCACCAGTGCTTCGCTCTGCGAGAGGGGCAGCCCGGCTGCTGCTGTTTCCCCTCTCATCTCATTTTACTGCCTCTTGAGCTCCGAGGCAGTGCTAACAGTAGGAGACTTCACATTCGGGGCTGGGAGAAAGGTCCCCTGAAAGGGGGCCTCACAGGTCAACTAGGCTCTTCTAGTTTGGACAGGTTTCTGGACAACATGTGCTGGGACTGGCAACCAGCACTTCAACATTTACAGTCATCCCCTCTCTTCAAACAGGAGGCATCATCCCTGGGGGTACATTTGGTAAATTGGCTGGAACACAAGATTGTCAATTAAAGGTAAAATAACATTTTGTTGAAACCTGGCTATGTTTGGTACATTCTATTGAAACAGTTTAAGTGTTGAACCTTTGTGACCCAACGTTGTTTTCTTTCCATTCTAGTTATTTGCCTGTGACAATATCAGAATAGCTACACATTTAAAGTTGTGTTTGGGGGAGGATTCATTGAACAGTGAGCTGTCGATCCTAAGGCAGTCCCAGCTAAGAAGAAACTTTCCCTCCGTGCTCTTCTCTGAACATAATTTAAAGATAATTCAAATAGAAAAGCAATTTGCGCGCAATTAGATCCAAATTTATTAGGTGTAGGTGAACCATTCGATCTGATTACCGAGGCTGCTATAAGTGTTATTCTCTTTGTGAACGAAATTCCATGAGGACAGGAAATATATCGATGAACCACTGTTGTAGCCCAAAGCTGTAGGTGGTGGTTGCGTTTTGTGGATAAACGTTTGGTGTGCATGACTCAGTCTATATGGGTAGCGAAATTTGATTGAACACAGCTCCAGAAATGCTGTGTGATCAGAGAGGAGTAACACTCCTGAGGCTCCTGCAGTGATCATGAACTTTGTGAAAGGCACATGGCTTTGAAATAAGAGGGACTAGATTCAGAGAAGCCTGGATTTGAGTCTCACATAACTACCTACTAGGTGTTTTTTTTACCTAGATGAGTTTCTTGGCTTCCATGTCCTTGTGGAAAATATGAAAGGAAGAATCGCATTTACTTTATTTAAATCAGCTGTGAGGATTAAATGAGGTAATATAGTTGCATGGCCCCCACACCTAATAAATGCTCGACTAATGGTCACTACTTCTATTATCATTAGTATTTTAACTGCTTCTAACACCTTTAGAATTGTGGGTATCATTATTAATGATATAATGGTTGCGTGAAAGGTTAAATTTTTTTTTTTTCTATGGAGAATTTAGGTCACAGAAATCAAAAGTTGACACATTAGATACTTTTTCTTCTAGTAACATGGGGCCTATGAAATGAAAATGCGGAAAAGCTTGAGTTTTAAGTGTGATTCACTGAAGTCTCTATATACCATCACAAACATTCATTAAACACCGTGGGGTTTTTTGTTCTTGTTAAACCTAAGATGCTACACAAGATGAAAAGAAATTAAATCCCACCAAATTTTTTTGCTTGTATCTAACCAGTGCCAAATACTCAAGATAGAAAGAAGCCACTTACAAGCTAGATATTTTTACCTTCACTTTCAAGAATTCAGACGTCTATCTAATGAGCTGGCTTTTCCCCTTGTCTTTTGTATACCTGATATTAGCAAAGCTATTTTGTGATTTGCTACTTGTGTTGCCAGTAGTGGTGGCCTTGTTGATTACAGGGTACAGTTTTAAATTCCTGCATTTATGAAGTGTGGGATTGCTTAGGAATTAGGCTTTCTATAGGAAAAACCATCTTGCTGGTTGAAAAGCCTAGGAGACTGCCAGGCCATCTTTAGGAGCCAGAACATCATAGACGAGCATATGGTTGGGTCTCTAGCCCATCAACAAGTTTCAGTCTTGCTGCTAAACAAGGGAAGAATAAATAGGCTTTGTTTGCCTCCAAAACTGGTGGCTCCTCACGGGCAGAAAAATGAGATGTCACTTAAACCTTTGCAGGGTTAGAATGGATCGTGCCATTCTGAATTGAAAAGTCAACTCTGACTTTCTGTATTGCTGTTGATCTCTCTCTTAAAGTCACCCCACTGACTTCACTGGATAGATATTCCAGACAAAAAGTCAACACAGAAGCAGTGACTCTAAATGACACACTATATCAGATGGGTTTAATTGATATTTACAGAACAACATTCCTCTGAAGTGCATGAGTCATTCTCAGGTAGACCACAGGTTGGGACACAGAACAAGTCTCTACAAGTTCAAGAAGATTGAAACCATATCAAGCATCTCAGATCACAATGGCATGAAATTAGAAATCAACTACAGTAAAAACACTCAAAAAATCCAAACACATGGAGGTTAAATAACATGTTATGAAACAATGAGTGAGTTACCCATAAGATCAAGAAAGAAATCAAAAACTTCCTGGAAACAAATGAAAATGAACACACAACCACCCAAATCTATGGGACACAGCGAAAGCAGTACTGAGAGGCCNAAGAAAGAAATCAAAAACTTCCTAGAAACAAATGAAAATGAACACACAACCACCCAAATCTATGCGACACAGCGAAAGCAGTACTGAGAGGCCTGTTCATAGCACTGCAGGCCTACCGCAAAAAGCAAGAAAATTTTTTAGTAAACTATCTAACCCTACACCTTAAAGTGTAGACAGTTCCCCCGTGAAGCTGTCTGGACCAGGGCTTTTGTTTGCTGGGAGTTTTTTTATTACTGCTTTGAGTTCATCACTTGTTATTAGCCTGTTCAGGTTTTCTGATTCTTTCTGATTCAGTTTTACATGATCTCACTCATATGTGGAATCTAATAAACAAAATAGACTGAGGAACAAAACAGATCCAGAGACATAGAAGCGTGGAACAGACTAAGGAATCTCAGTGGGAAGGTGGGGGTGGGAAAGTGGGTGAGGAGAGATTAATCAAAGAACTTATCTGCATAAATGCATAACCCATGGACACAGACAATAGTGTGGTGAAGGTCTGGGGGGTGGTGGATGTGGGGTGGAAGGGATCAATGGGGAAAAACATGGAAGATATCTGTACTACTTTCAACAATAAAGATAAATTTAGAAGAAAAAAAGAAAGAAGAAAGAAAGAAAGAAGAAAGAAAAGTCAGCTTTGACTTTTAATTGCATGNATGCATAACCCATGAACACAGACAATAGTGTGGTGAAGGCCTGGGGGGTGGTGGATGTGGGGTGGAGGGGATCAATGGGGAAAAACATGGAAGATATCTGTAATACTTTCAACAATAAAGATAAATTTAAAAGAAAAAAAAGAAAGAAAGAAAGAAAGAAAGAAAGAAAGAAAGAAAGAAAGAAAGAAAGAAAGAAAGAAAGAAGAAAGAAGTCAGCTTTGACTTTTAATTGCATANTATCTGTACTACTTTCAACAATAAAGATAAATTTAGAAGAAAAAAAGAAAGAAGAAAGAAAGAAAGAAGAAAGAAAAGTCAGCTTTGACTTTTAATTGCATGCCAAAACAAAGACCCACTAATGCATTTGCTAACAAAGGTTCTTACTACATACAAGTTGCAATAAAAAGAGATTTTTTTCCTTTATATTTAGAATGGTTCTAATCACAATAGAGCCTTCATTAAGACACTATCTTGAGTAGATATTTATGTTTTAATTAATTTTTACCCTTTCCTGTGGATTTCCCTCTATCATGAAGCCATCCCTCAAAGGAAATGCTGACAATAAATTAATATCCATACCCCAGTGTATTTTACGGTGTTTCATTTTAAATAGTCACATTCAGGTTTAAGTGTAGCATCATTTACCTTTCACTATGCCTAGCATATAGGAGAGGCTAAATAAACAGCAATTAAGAAAAACATAGCATTATTAGAATTAGAGCAATACTTCTCCATATTTCATTTCTGTTCNAGCATCATTTACCTTTCACTATGCCTAGCATATAGGAGAGGCTAAATAAAACAGCAATTAAGAAAAACATAGCATTATTAGAATTAGAGCGATACTTCTCCATCTTTCATTTCTGTTCCATCATTCTTCAGCGAAGTTGGTGTAATCTCTCCTCCAGTGGGCAAGAGTTGGAATTTTTCACAGTCACAAGTGAAAGAGAGAGCAAAATAAGAGAGATTTTCATTTATAAGATTGCCTTTCTCTTATCTACTGGTCCTGCCTCCCAGACTGTCTGTCTGTCTCTGGAAAGCTAAGTCAATAAAAATGATGCGAGCTGGCATCTCACAAATGTACACCCTTAAACCATGAAGCAGCAATGCTGTGCAGGAAATATTTTCCTGACCTTTTCAAATTGCATCCAACTGTCTCGGGAATTTCTCAGTGACTAGAGGTAATAAGGTTCAATCCGTTTTACTGGCTGGCTTCAAATTTAGTTCCTCCGAATCTCAAACTTATCTATTCTTTGCATCTTGGCCCTGGCATCCATTCAGCATAGAAATCCACGCATCTAATCTGTTTTCCT